GACAAGAGTGTTGAGTGTGACAAGAGTGTTGAGTGTGACAAGAGTGTTGAGTGTGACACGAGTGTTGAGAGTGACAAGAGTGTTGAGTGTGACAAGAGTGTTGAGTGTGACAAGAGTGTTGAGTGTGACAAGAGTGTTGAGTGTGACAAGAGTGTTGAGTGTGAGTGTTGAGTGTGACAAGAGTGTCGAGTGTGACAAGAGTGTTGAGTGTGAGAGTGTTGAGTGTGACAAGAGTGTTGAGTGTGACAAGAGTGTTGAGAGTGACAAGAGTGTTGAGTGTGACAAGAGTGTTGAGTGTGACAAGAGTGTTGAGTGTGACAAGAGTGTTGAGAGTGACAAGAGTGTTGAGTGTGACAAGAGTGTTGAGTGTGACAAGAGTGTTGAGTGTGACAAGAGTGTTGAGTGTGACAAGAGTGTTGAGTGTGACAAGAGTGTTGAGAGTGACAAGAGTGTTGAGTGTGACAAGAGTGTTGAGTGTGACAAGAGTGTTGAGTGTGACAAGAGTGTTGAGTGTGACAAGAGTGTTGAGTGTGACAATAGTGTTGAGTGTGACAAGAGTGTTGAGTGTGACAAGAGTGTTGAGTGTGACAAGAGTGTTGAGAGTGACAAGAGTGTTGAGTGTGACAAGAGTGTTGAGTGTGACAAGAGTGTTGAGTGTGACAAGAGTGTTGAGTGTAACAAGAGTGTTGAGTGTGACAAGAGTGTTGAGAGTGACAAGAGTGTTGAGAGTGACAAGAGTGTTGAGTGTGAGAGTGTTGAGTGTGACAAGAGTGTTGAGTGTGACAAGAGTGTTGAGAGTGACAAGAGTGTTGAGTGTGACAAGAGTGTTGAGTGTGACAAGAGTGTTGAGTGTGACAAGAGTGTTGAGTGTGACAAGAGTGTTGAGTGTGAGTGTTGAGTGTGACAAGAGTGTTGAGTGTGACAAGAGTGTTGAGTGTGACAAGAGTGTTGAGTGTGACAAGAGTGTTGAGTGTGACAAGAGTGTTGAGAGTGACAAGAGTGTTGAGTGTGACAAGAGTGTTGAGTGTGACAAGAGTGTTGAGTGTGACAAGAGTGTTGAGTGTTACAAGAGTGTTGAGTGTGACAAGAGTGTTGAGTGTGACAAGAGTGTTGAGTGTGACAAGAGTGTTGAGAGTGACAAGAGTGTTGAGTGTGACAAGAGTGTTGAGTGTGACAAGAGTGTTGAGTGTGACAAGAGTGTTGAGTGTTACAAGAGTGTTGAGAGTGACAAGAGTGTTGAGAGTGACAAGAGTGTTGAGTGTGAGAGTGTTGAGTGTGACAAGAGTGTTGAGTGTGACAAGAGTGTTGAGAGTGACAAGAGTGTTGAGTGTGAGAGTGTTGAGTGTGACAAGAGTGTTGAGTGTGACAAGAGTGTTGAGTGTGACAAGAGTGTTGAGTGTGAGTGTTGAGTGTGACAAGAGTGTTGAGTGTGACAAGAGTGTTGAGTGTGACAAGAGTGTTGAGTGTGACAAGAGTGTTGAGTGTTACAAGAGTGTTGAGTGTGACAAGAGTGTTGAGTGTGACAAGAGTGTTGAGAGTGACAAGAGTGTTGAGTGTGACAAGAGTGTTGAGTGTGACAAGAGTGTGACAAGAGTGTTGAGTGTGACAAGAGTGTTGAGTGTGACAAGAGTGTTGAGTGTGACAAGAGTGTTGAGTATGACAAGAGTGTTGAGAGTGACAAGAGTGTTGAGTGTGACAAGAGTGTTGAGTGTGACAAGAGTGTTGAGTGTGACAAGAGTGTTGAGTGTTACAAGAGTGTTGAGTGTGACAAGAGTGTTGAGTGTGACAAGAGTGTTGAGTGTGACAATAGTGTTGAGTGTGACAAGAGTGTTGAGTGTGACAAGAGTGTTGAGTGTGACAAGAGTGTTGAGTGTGACAAGAGTGTTGAGTGTGACAAGAGTGTTGAGTGTGACAAGAGTGTTGAGTGTGACAAGAGTGTTGAGTGTGACAAGATTGTTGAGTGTGACAAGAGTGTTGAGTGTGACAAGAGTGTTGAGTGTGACAAGAGTGTTGAGTGTGACAAGAGTGTTGAGTGTGACAAGAGTGTTGAGTGTGACAAGAGTGTTGAGTGTGACAAGAGTGTTGAGAGTGACAAGAGTGTTGAGTGTGACAAGAGTGCTGAGTGTGACAAGAGTGTTGAGAGTGACAAGAGTGTTGAGAGTGACAAGAGTGTTGAGAGTGACAAGAGTGTTGAGTGTGAGTGTGAGTGTTGAGTGTGACAAGAGTGTTGAGTGTGACAAGAGTGTTGAGAGTGACAAGAGTGTTGAGAGTGACAAGAGTGTTGAGTGTGACAAGAGTGTTGAGTGTGACAAGAGTGTTGAGTGTGACAAGAGTGTTGAGTGTGACAAGAGTGTTGAGTGTGACAAGAGTGTTGAGTGTGACAAGAGTGTTGAGTGTGAGAGTGTTGAGTGTGACAAGAGTGTTGAGTGTGACAAGAGTGTTGAGTGTGATAAGAGTGTTGAGTGTGACAAGAGTGTTGAGTGTGACAAGAGTGTTGAGTGTGAGAGTGTTGAGAGTGACAAGAGTGTTGAGAGTGACAAGAGTGTTGAGAGTAACAAGAGTGTTGAGTGTGAGTGTGACAAGAGTGTTGAGTGTGAGTGTTGAGTGTGACAAGAGTGTTGAGTGTGACAAGAGTGTTGAGTGTGAGAAGAGTGTTGAGTGTGACAAGAGTGTTGAGTGTGACAAGAGTGTTGAGTGTGACAAGAGTGTTGAGTGTGACAAGAGTGTTGAGAGTGACAATAGTGTTGAGTGTGACAAGAGTGTTGAGTGTGACAAGAGTGTTGAGTGTGACAAGAGTGTTGAGTGTGACAAGAGTGTTGAGTGTGACAAGAGTGTTGAGTGTGACAAGAGTGTTGAGTGTGACAAGAGTGTTGAGTGTGACAAGAGTGTTGAGTGTGACAAGAGTGTTGAGAGTGACAAGAGTGTTGAGTGTGACAAGAGTGTTGAGTGTGACAAGAGTGTTGAGTGTGACAAGAGTGTTGAGAGTGACAAGAGTGTTGAGTGTGACAAGAGTGTCGAGTGTGACAAGAGTGTTGAGTGTGACAAGAGTGTTGAGAGTGACAAGAGTGTTGAGTGTGACAAGAGTGTTGAGTGTGACAAGAGTGTTGAGTGTGACAAGAGTGTTGAGTGTGACAAGAGTGTTGAGTGTGACAAGAGTGTTGAGTGTGAGAGAAGTGAATGTTGACATTTGAGGAGAGTTGCCACTACGAGCATGACGACTGTGTGGTGAGTGTGAGTAGTGTGAAGCAAGTACAATATGTAGTGTTAAAAGTGTAGCGAGTGCGAGACGTGTCCTTTCAGTACGAGATGTTTGGGTGGATGAGTGCATTAGGAGTGTGTATTATTTGCAGTGTTTTAGCGGAGAGGGAGATGCTAAGAGTAAGTGCTGGAGAGTGTGATAAGCACGAGGAGTATTAATAGTTAATTCGTTTTTATTAGTGAGTGGTAGTGTGGTAGGTGTCTGCTATTAGTACATAGGAGTGTGTTATTGGTGTGAGTAGTGATTTGAGTACAGTACTAGTAGGAGTGTTATTGGTGAGTAGTGTTGAGTACAGTATTAGGAGTGTTATTGGTGAGTAGTGTTATGAGTACAGTACGAGTACAGTATGAGTACAGTAGTAGCAGGAGAGTGTTATTGGTGAGTAGTGTTATGAGTACAGTATGAGTACAGTACTAGTAGGAGTGTTATTGGTGAGTAGTGTTATGAGTACAGTAAGAGTACAGTACTACGAGTGTTATTGGTGAGTAGTGTTATGAGTACAGTATTCGTAGGAGAGTTATTGGTGAGTAGTGTTATGAGTACAGTACGAGTACAGTACGAGTACAGTAGTAGCAGGAGAGTGTTATTGGTGAGTAGTGTTATGAGTACAGTATGAGTACAGTACTAGTAGGAGTGTTATTGGTGAGTAGTGTTATGAGTACAGTACGAGTACAGTATTAGCAGGAGTGTTATTGGTGAGTAGTGTTATGAGTACAGTATGAGTACAGTATTAGTAGGAGAATTATTAGTGAGTAGTGTTATGAGTACAGTATGTGTACAGTATGAGTACAGTAGTAGCAGGAGAGTGTTATTGGTGAGTAGTGTTATGAGTACAGTATGAGTACAGTATTAGTACAGTAGTAGCAGGAGAGTGTTATTGGTGAGTAGTGTTGAGTACAGTATGAGTACAGTACTAGTAGGAGAGTTATTGGTGAGTAGTGTTATGAGTACAGTATGAGTACAGTATGAGTACAGTAGTAGCAGGAGTGTGTTACTGGTGAGTAGTGTTAATCGCGCACTTTGTGTGACTGGTGCGAGGGGCTTGTTACTCAATTGATGGGTGACTTCGCGCCCTCTACGAGCGTGATGAGGGTGGTGTTGTGTCTGTGGCGCCGTGAGGTGTAGTGAGTGAGTGAGGTGTAGTGAGTGGGTGAGTGAGGAGTAGTGAGTGGGTGGGTGAGTGAGGAGTAGTGAGTGAGTGGGTGAGTGAGGAGTAGTGAGTGAGTGGGTGGGTGTGTGTGAGTGAGTGAGGTGTAGTGAGTGAGTGAGTGGGGGTGTGAGTGAGGTGTAGTGAGTGAGTGGGTGAGTGAGTGGGTGAGTGAGTGAGGAGTAGTGAGTGAGTGGGTGGGTGAGTGGGTGTGTGTGTGTGAGTGAGGTGTAGTGAGTGAGGTGTAGTGAGTGAGTGAGGTGTAGTGAGTGAGGTGTAGTGAGTGGGTGTATGTGAGTGAGGTGTAGTGAGTGAGGTGTAGTGAGTGAGTGGGTGTGTGAGTGAGGTGTAGTGAGCGAGTGGGTGTGTGAGTGAGGTGTAGTGAGTGAGGTGTAGTGAGTGAGGTGTAGTGAGTGAGTGAGGTGTAGTGAGGTGTAGTGAGTGGGTGTGTGTGAGGTGTAGTGAGTGAGGTGTAGTGAGTGAGTGAGGTGTAGTGAGGTGTAGTGAGTGAGTGTGTGTGAGTGAGTGCGTGCGTGCGACAAGCCCCGCGCTCGCAGCAGCAACAGCAGCGGGGAGCTGTCAGGAGGCCCTCACCGTCCGCCATAGCTGCCGCCTCCGTCTCCAGGGCCGCGCGGCTCGCAGCCAATACGCGCGCGCTAAACGTGTCACGTGACGCTCGCCGCGCGTGCGTGCGCGTGCACCACAGCCGCTGCGTGAGCGGCCGACGTGCGAGTGCGCGGAAGCTTCTGTCTGCGACTACGCGGGCTTCTGTCTGCGATTCCACAGGCTTCTGTCTGCGACTCCACAGGCTTCTGTCTGCGACTCCACGGGCTTCTGTCTGCACCCCCCCCCCGTTGTGAGCTGTCACTCAAACTCAGCAGAGCCGGTAAGCTATAAAGGGGCCGTCTATTAATGACGTCATGTGATTTTGGACGATTTTTTGACCCCCCCCCCTAGTCACATGGCGTCACAAAAAGTCAGGCCCCCCTTCAAATATGACGTCACAAAGCTCTGCCGCCCCCCCAAATAATAAAACATGCTTCAAATAGCTTTCAACTATTGTCATTGTAGTGCGTATTTAATGTGGCGCTGCACTCTGATTAAAAAGTATATTTAATTAAGTAGAACGTGTTGTCTATATTTATTTAAAGTTGCGCATTTTTATGTGACGTCACATTTCTCAACCCCCCCCCCCCCCCCCCCCCTTGTCACACATCGTCACAAATGTCTGACCCTGCTGGATCTCCTCTCTGTTTCAAAGAACAAATTTGACCTCAGCTCTTCGCTCATTTACCAGCTTCACATTCCCTATTGCCGTACAAAAACTGGAGGAAGGGCCTTTGCTATTGATGCCCCCAGGGTCTGGAATGCTATTGCCAATAAACTGCAACTTGAATCACTACCTATGAGATCTTCACTCAAAACTGCTCTAGAGGAGTTGTACAACCCTAGCTGCCACTGCTATTCAGTGGCCTAAAATATGGCTCTAGGGCTTGGTGTTATAATTTATGTAGTTTATTGTAAAAAATTCGGTCACAGTCCCTATGATCACTGTTACATTGCATTTGTAGTGGGTTCCAGTGACACGGAGACGGTAGAGTAGAGGCAGCTCTTATTTATTTATAACAAGGGATCACACTGAAGGGGTAGCGGCCCCTTCACCTGAATACGCTTAGGAATATCCCCCTAGGCTATCTAGCCTAAGTCTATGTTCCCCGGTTCCTCCAGCTAAGGGCTCTAGGGGAGGCTGTCTGATCTGGCCCTGGTTAAGCTCAGATCACGGCACCCCGCCAACCAGACCGGCCCTTAGAAGGACGTCGGCTCTGTGGCTCCTGGGGCCGTACCGCCGGCTTGCCCTGCCGATCCTGAGAAGGACAGCGGTCAGGGGAGTCCCAGGGTTCTATTTAGCTGGTCTTCCTTCTTCCCTGGTTACTTCATTCTTGGCACCAACACTCTGCCCCGAGCTCTCTCACTCCCCGCCCTTTATACCCAGAGACCCCTGGGCGGGGCTGTAGAAGCGGACGTGGTTGTAGCCACCTAGGATCACACCAAGCATCGGCTGTACCTCTGCATCTCACAACACCCCTACACATTTATGGCTTTTATTTTGGTGATTTCGAAAACGTTTTTTTTGGTTTGGCCATCATCAGGTGGGAAAGCTTTTGTGTTGCCCCCGAAACGTCGTGATTTATTTTATTTTATACCTACTACGTGACTTTACCGAAAGAACCAAAGAGTATGGATTCCTGCAGTCACGAAAGCTTCAAATGAAGATAAAATAATCTAAACGAAGCCAGCAGTGGCGGGCGGTTGTCTAAGAGTTTTTTGTTGTGGCGGTGTCGGCGTCGCAAGACCGTGGTGGGTGGGCCTGGGGACGAAGGGGACTGTGCCTTTAATGTCCCTGTGAGACATTCCAGGTCCCTGTGAGACATTCAATGTCCCTGTGGGACATTCAATGTCCCTGTGTGGCTTTAATGTCCCTGTGAGACATTCAATGTCCCTGTGAGACTTTCAATGTCCCTGTGAGACTTTCAATGTCCCTGTGAGACATTCAATGTCCCTGTGAGACTTTCAATGTCCCTGTGAGACGTTCAATGTTCCTGTGAGGCTTTCAATGTCCCTGTGAGACTTTCAATGTCCCTGTGAGACTTTCAATGTCCCTGTGAGACATTCAATGTCCCTGTGAGACTTTCAATGTCCCTGTGAGACGTTCAATGTTCCTGTGAGGCTTTCAATGTCCCTGTGAGACATTCAATGTCCCTGTGAGACATTCAATGTCCCTGTGAGGTATTCAATGTCCCTGTGAGACATTCAATGTCCCTGTGAGACTTTCAATGTCCTGTGAGACATTCAATGTCCCTGTGAGACTTTCAATGTTCCTGTGAGGCTTTCAATGTCCCTGTGAGACATTCAATGTCCCTGTGAGACATTAAATGTCCCTGTGAGACTTTCAATGTCCCTGTGAGATATTCAATGTCCCTGTGAGACATTAAATGTCCCTGTGAGACATTCAAAGTCCATGCGAGACTTTCAATGTCCCTGTGAGACATTAAATGTCCCTGTGAGGTATTCAATGTCCCTGTGAGACATTCAATGTCCCTGTGAGACTTTCAATGTCCTGTGAGACATTCAATGTCCCTGTGAGACTTTCAATGTTCCTGTGAGGCTTTCAATGTCCCTGTGAGACATTCAATGTCCCTGTGAGACATTAAATGTCCCTGTGAGACTTTCAATGTCCCTGTGAGACATTCAATGTCCCTGTGAGACATTAAATGTCCCTGTGAGACATTCAAAGTCCATGCGAGACTTTCAATGTCCCTGTGAGACATTCAATGTCCCTGTGAGACATTCAATGGCCCTGTGAGACATTCAAAGTCCATGCGAGACTTTCAATGTCCCTGTGAGGCTTTCAATGTCTCTGTGAGACTTTCAATGTCCCTGTGAGACATTCATTGTCCCTGTGAGACTTTCAATGTCTCTGTGAGGCTTTCAATGTTCCTGTGAGACTTTCAATGTCCCTGTGAGACTTTCAATGTCCCTGTGAGGCATTCAATGTCCCTGTGAGACATTCAATGTCCCTGTGAGACTTTCAATGTCCCTGTGAGACATTCAATGTCCCTGTGAGACATTCAATGTCCCTGTGAGACTTTCAATGTCCCCGTGAGACATTCAATGTCCCCGTGAGACATTCAATGTCCCCGTGAGACTTTCAATGTCCCTGTGAGACATTCAATGTCCCTGTGAGGTATTCAATGTCCCTGTGAGACATTCAATGTCCCTGTGAGGCTTTCAATGTCCCTGTGTGACATTCAATGTCCATGTGAGACTTTCAATGTCCCTGTGAGACTTTCAATGTCCCTGTGAGACATTCAATGTCCCTGTGAGACATTCAATGTCCCTGTGAGACTTTCAATGTCCCTGTGAGACATTCAATGTCCCTGTGAGGCATTCAATGTCCCTGTGATACATTAAATGTCCCTGTGAGGCATTCAATGTCCCCGTGAGACATTGAATGTCCCTGTGAGACATTCAATGTCCCTGTGAGACTTTCAATGTTCTTGTGAGGCATTCAATGTCCCTGTGAGACTTTCAATGTCCCTGTGAGACTTTCAATGTCCCTGTGAGACTTTCAATGTCCCTGTGAGACTTTCAATGTCCCTGTGAGACATTCAATGTCCCTGTGAGACATTCAATGTCCCTGTGAGACTTTCAATGTCCCTGTGAGACTTTCAATGTCCCTGTGAGACTTTCAATGTCCCTGTGAGACATTCAATGTCCCTGTGAGGCTTTCAATGTCCCTGTGAGACTTTCAATGTCCCTGTGAGACTTTCAATGTCCCTGTGAGACATTCAATGTCCCTCTGAGACATTCAATGTCCCCGTGAGGCATTCAATGTCCCCGTGAGACTTTCAATGTCCCTGTGAGGCTTTCAATGTCCCCGTGAGACATTCAATGTCCCTGTGAGACATTCATTGTCCCTGTGAGACATTCAATGTCCCTGTGAGACATTCAATGTCCCTGTGAGACTTTCAATGTCCCTGTGAGACATTCAATGTCCCTGTGAGACATTCAATGTCCCTGTGAGACTTTCAATGTCCCTGTGAGACATTCAATGTCCCTGTGAGGCGTTCAATGTCCCTGTGAGGCTTTCAATGTCCCCGTGAGACATTCAATGTCCCTGTGAGACATTCATTGTCCCTGTGAGACATTCAATGTCCCTGTGAGACATTCAATGTCCCTGTGAGACTTTCAATGTCCCGGGGAGACATTCAATGTCCCTGTGAGACATTCAATGTCCCCGTGAGACATTGAATGTCCCTGTGAGACATTGAATGTCCCTGTGAGACTTTCAATGTCCCTGTGAGAATTCAATGTCCCTGTGAGACATTCAATGTCCCTGTGAGACTTTCAATGTCCCTGCGAGACTTTCAATGTCCCTGCGAGGCATTCAATGTCCCTGTGAGACATTCAATGTCCCTGTGAGACTTTACCGATTCCGATTTCCCAGGACAACCCCCCCCCCCCCCCCCCCAAGAAGGGGACAAAGTCGTTAGGATGACGTGGCAACACCAAGCCCCACGCATTCATCGCGGCAACACCGGGGGGCCCGAACTGCGCTCACGTTCTGGGGCAGGGCGAGTTTAGTGGATAAGTAAGGGGCCGTCCATAAATGACGTCACGCGATTTTGGACGATTTTTTACCCCCCCCCCCACCTCGTCACACGGCGTCACAAAAAGTCAGACCCCCCCCCCCTAAAATATGACGTCATAAAGCTCCGCCCCCCCAAAATAAAACATGCTTCAAATCGCTTTAAGCTATTGTCATTGTAGTGCGTATATAAAGTGGCGCTGCACTCTGATGTTGTAGGAGAAAACAATTATTAAAAAGTCTATTTATTTAATTAAGTAGAACGTGTTGTCTATATTTATTTAAAGTTGCGCATTTTGATGTGACGTCACATTTATCAAACCCCTCCTTCGTCACAAATGTCTGAACCCCCCCCCCCCCCCCAGGTGCGTGACGTCATTTATGGACGGCCCCTTACTGCCAGCGGAACGTTCCTCCGCGAAGTTGTCCCTGTGTGGTGTGAGAGCAGTCGTCTTCATTGCAAGGCCCGCGGGCCACTGGCGGCCCCTGGGCGGTCTTTAGTGGAGCCCCCGACAATAGACAAAGAGTGACAACGCCCCCCCCATCACAACCACCATCATCATCGTGCTGCTGCTGCTGCTGTCAAACACAACAATGGTTTCAAACGCGTGGCGGCCCTCTCGCTGATGATGTCTTATCGGCGACAGTGGGCCCCCTCTGAAGACGAGTGAAACACACTGTAAGAGCAATATTCATCAGCCCAGTAAACCATCAGCCACACGTCAGAGAGGAGTGAACCAACACGGTGTGCCACTTTCATTGATTCTGAAACATCTTCATAATCTTCCTTGGGTTCTTTCCGTACAGTCACGTGACTTTACCGAAAGAACCAAAGGAAAATGAATTCCTGCAATTCACGAAAGCGTTCAGTCAAAATGTCCATCACCATCCTCAGCCCTGGTCAAGCCGCCGATTAAAATCTTCTCAAGCACCCGGCCACCTCTCAAGTCAGCCACGTCATAGTTCACCTGGCACCGCCAAACGAGTTAATGTCATCACTCCATCTCCTTCGGTGGACGTACTCTCAGACGTGTTCTGTTCCTTGGATGGCAACTCATCGTTCGTGACATCGGCCAAATCTCCTTTAGCCGTGACATTTCACCGCTGAAGCCCAAGCCCACTTACTTTTGTCAAGTCTGATGTCGGCAACCTGTGTTGTCTCATTCACATGTTCTTATTTCCGTCTTCAAAACGCGAATCTCTCCATTCTCTTTGCGCGCTCTACGGTGTTCGTTCAATTATCCTTAAATCAACTACCCATGAAGATGTTTTTTGACACAATATTTTTCTTTATTGAAAATATCAATGACATTTTGCCGTATGAAGCAAGGGCGACGCTTAAGCTAAAGCAGTGTTAATGTGGTCCTCTGTGTGCTCGTATAGGCCTATGTTAGTGTAACGCGCGTGAATGTTGAATTTGACTTTAGGTGCCTGTGACCACTGCTCATGTTACATGGATACACCTATTACACATTTTGTGCGTAAACGCGCTATTTAACCACACGCGCAAGGTTTCATTTGTCACTGGATAGTTACTGGAATGCTGCTAGGCTGGCTTGGAGTGGGGATTATCGGTGTAAGGCACTGCCACTAGAGTACACAAGGTCCGCCTATACGTCATAAAACGATATTGTTATATTCCTATAACCCTGTTAAGGTGGATTTGTAGAAAATAAGGCGAGATGGAGTGTGTTGTGTCAAAATAATTCCCAGAACAGCATTCCGGACTGAAATAATGCGCTGCACAAGAGTAACGATGTGGTGCTGGCTGTGTTACGTACACATCGGTATTAACAGCCAATGAATGACGAAATCCAGTCGCATCCTGCAGTGTACTATCAGCCAATTGGCGGGCGCATTCCAGAAAGCAGCACAGCTTGGCACAGTATGTCGGCATGTTTTAGACTCGCTTGGAGTGTCCAGGTGTTCTTATGCCACACGTGTGGGTTATCTTCAAGTATTAATAGATAATAACCACGCACGTGTGGGTACTTCCCACACTGGAACACCCTGATCACTGTGGTAGTCATTTCTCCCAGAGTTGTGCTCATTTTATGTAATATTTATGTCGCTGTAGAACATTTCTTGAAAGGCATCATGGACTCAGATTACAGACTGACCAATAGCTGCTATGAATAGAAACCTTGGCTTATATTGCTATTCCAGTAGTATACACACACACTCGTATACATTTACCAGACTAGCTGTTTAAAACATTTTCCAAAAAAAACACATGTGAATAAATGCTTGACGTTAGTACTGGGCTCACATTGCCTGCATTCCGGTGCACAAACATGCACTTTGGGCTGCTCAACAAGATTTCGATCCAGCATTGACTGGGTTGCCACCTCTGTGGTACAAAAAAAAACTCGGGACATATCGTGGGGAGAATACTACCTCACCATTTTGAAAGGGCGCAGAAATACACTTAAATTGCACTGTCTTGAATGGTGTATATTTACCAAATTACACACACCGGGACTTCTAATGTCCTAGGAAGACTTACAGAACTCCGAGGACAAGCTGCCTTAACTAGGGTCCAATCCTGGGAAAAAGACAGGACAGGTGGCAACCCTAATTCTAATACAGCAATGACGCAGCATTACAGGCTGATGACACGTGGCGGCATGAGCTGCGAAAATTCACACTGGATTAAGATTGATGCCCTACAGTAAACTAAGTGATTTTGGGAGGAGACACCATTTGTCGCGTGTCAATGGGTAATGAACAAATACGATGATATCCAATGTTTGCGAGTAAATGTGTGGCCGTGTGTGTTCCACCTGTGTGCATGTACTTGCGCCTGCGTGCTAAAGCCAAACCAAAAAGCAGGGGAATGTCATCTTCTACAAAAGATTATCCAACACGTGGTTGATGTCAGCAGCTTGTTATATGCTCATGTCGTACGAGTCTTCCACTTGGGTCGCTGCACACGCCTGCAGGTGCTTGCACATTTCGATTCTCTGCAGAAATGACCATCATCGTCAGTATCACCATTAACGTCACTCAGATAAGCAATGACCGGGGCTTAACTTCAGCCAGGTCTGTCTAGGTTGGTGATCCAGAAAATATTTCCACACACCACATCCAGGATACCTCTTGCTACCACTGTGGCTGCTAGTCACATGCCACTACGGTCTTCTCTTTAGGTCCACTCCAGTCTACCAGTGACCCAGAACATTCTCAGTCAGACATTAAGCCCCGATAATCAAGATACCATGATAGTAAATAGAATAATTAAGGAATTAGTAAATCCATATCTGGATAAAGACCCCCCCACATAGTGTCAGTGGTGGGGGCATGTGGCCATACTTCCCCACGCTGGACACTGCTGGTTGGTGAAGGGAGGTGACTAGGACCGTTTAGCATTTAACTCGCCACTGACGTTAGCACCGGTCAAAAATTAAATACAGATCGCCCAGTTCATGACACACACGGAGCTTTAACCATTTCGCCACTGTTCCACTCCCAGTTATGATCATACTATTGTCGACATTCCCTAACGAACACCGGGCAAATTGATCAAAGGGTGCCTTTGAACACGTTAGAGAATTCATGCATATCCATTAATGTTGCCTTGTTTAATAGCAATTAAAAACATGTATAGTTTTTTTAGATTATGGTCCACCATCAGAAGATCACTTGAAATGTATAACAGTGTGGAAGTGTTACATTAAGTTTTGACAAATGTCCATCCATAAGCAGCGTTCAACGAATCGTGTTATCTACGGTGTTCACCATGCGTTGTTGTATTGAACGTGTAGTTGTATTGTGCGGATAGTGCACGTGCATGCAGGGAAACATTGAACATACCGGTTGGCTGGTTAGCTTTTTCAACACGTCCCTGGCCATTTTCAGACACGGTTGATAGTCAGCCGTTTTTTTCATTGACTTGCACGATTGTTTGAACACTACATTCTGTCACACACACAAACACACAGTCCATGAATCTCAGGGTTCAAAACAAGGAGCAGTGAAGCACAGCGATCCAGTAACAAACAGGGTAAAAAGGCACATTCCCACTTTCCAAAATACAATAAAAATGTATTTTTAAATTTAAATTATTTTCATTTCAAACTGACCACATCACCGTAATCTGCCAGAACTTCCCTCTGGCTAAAAGAATGGGAATTTTTTTTTACGAGAAAGCTGCTGCAAGGAGCCGGCAAAGAATCACCCCCGGTGAAGAGCTAGCATCTGGCTCCAATTCCAAATGGCTCACATGGCGGAGCCTAAGAGACTGGGAGTGGATTTCGGCAGATGCAACTCTCATGAAATCATGGGGGTGCTTCTACATCGCCGACCAATGTGCTTGTCAGGAGAAGCAACCCTTACGGATCATCTCCTGACATTCCCTGCACGACCACAATGCACTCCACAAGATTTGGCAATGCCAACACCGGAAGTGGTGGCCTGTGCAGAACATTGGGAATTATTAATATAATTAGCACAATTCAATCAAAATGAAGCGATGTGTTTTTGCATGCAAGTGTGGCTGGCATGCGTGAGAGTTTGGTGTGTGCGTGTGAGAGCGCAAAAAGGGGTAACGATAGAGCGATAGGGTCCTGGATGCGTGTCGCACGTGTAACAGACTCTACAGCGTGGGAGACACGGCAGCTCTGCTCGACCGTACGTGGCTGGACTACACGCACATCGTCAGTCTGGGTGATGTCTGAGCTCCTGTAGGAGCTCATGATATATGTCACGTTGTGGTGGTTGGTGGTTGCTAAGACAATGAGCATAGGCTACTCCTTTCCAAGTGCCTGTGGTGACACTGACCTGCTGGGGTTACACTACCTTGGCAATGCTATAAATTGTCCAGGGACTCTATGACCAAGAGCACAACCACATTAGGGAGCAGCAGGCATTCTTCAAACGAATGATTCCTGATGCTTATAGTTTAGATTATGGGTACGTTCCGCGAGATTCACCCCCCACTTTGTTACAGTGACCAGCTTGAGATCATCATATTGCTACACTTGAGAACCCATTTCAATTGCAGGTGGCCGAAATCCATATTGAAATCCCTGATGTCAGAGGTATCAGCCCAGCACTGTGAAGCGCTGTGCCAACGTTTAATAACTTTTCATGCACGGAATAGTAGTCAATCTGCAATTAATCAACAATATCCCCAAATCTATTACTTGCCGATCAGCCTGAATGTTTTTCTCCGCTGCCTGTGCACGTGTTGGGGCTGCTTCCATTCTTAGTCTGCTGCTCCCAGGCGTATCACCAATGTCGGTCTTGCCATGTGGGACAACCGGTCTCCACTATGTGTAAAATGGCATTTTTCGTTGGCACAGCCCAGCTTTCGTGAAGTCAAAGTTTCGTTTGACAATTTCTGCTGCTTTTTAACAGTTGACACGTTAACTGGCAACATGAATAACACGGTAGTGGTTGCTATGCCTTCACACCTTCGCAGGTAGAATATTCTCGTGCCACCTTAGCCATGCTTACTTTGAACCTCTGGACTTTATAGCACCCGATGTATTTTCAGGTTGTACCGCACATTGTTCGGCGTGACGTTCGACATTTTGCTTTGCATGTTGGGAGCGTCTTGAGGATATCACGCTAAACAACATGCGGGACAGCCCACAAACACATCGGAGAGCCTTTGCTCCTTGGCTTTCCTCCTGGTGCAATCCATAGTGGGGGAAGTTTTTGTTGCCATATCCTGTTCATAACGAACTTATTGCCAATATTCAAACATATGAATCGGGCGTTGAGTCTGTATAATTGAGTAGTGAGCACATTTGTGCGTGTGTACGTTTATTTCTGTGTGATTGTGAAAGTGCATTCCAACCTTGCGAATCTTCAGAAGGTCCACGGCAACTTCCATTGTGGTCTGGCACAATGCGCACTGGTCCTGAGCGAGAAAACACGCAGCACGGTTTAGAAATGGGACAGTTATGTAGTCCACCACAGTGCCTAAGATCTATTCTACAAATACTACTGCATATGCAAAATAATTTATATATGAAATAAAAAACCTGTTCATCCATCTGTACTTAATGTCCGTTGCCCGTGTCTGCTCTGTGTATGAAAGTAATGCAGTGTGTTCGAAAGCGCTGCGAGTTTTCCTAATGCAAATTGGATATAACGTGATGAATGTATGAGGGAACATTTTTTTTAAATATATAACGCGGATACGAATTGGATATAACGCGATTAAGTGAACAGAACTATGTCGCATGAGCATGAATGAGCCGTTGTACGGCTGCCTTGACGTAGCATCGCACAAGGCGGGATGCTGCTGGATGCTTCTAGATGCTACCCAGTCTTTGTTCGGCCTGCATACGCATCGCGGACTGTGCTTTACTCTAATATTATTTGTTATCACGCGATTTTCCATAACGCGGTGTTCTTCAGGAACGCAACTACTACCGCGTTGTAGGAGAACAGACTGTACCAACAACAATAATTTAACAGCCACCATTCAACAATAGCAGCCCCACTTTTGGATTAAGGCTTATTTACATCGTATTAGTCATGGCGGGTTGATTATACTTCCCCACGTTGGTCAATGAAGAGGCCGTGGGGTGCCCAGGACCAGTTCCAGATATCACTTACCACTGATGTTAGCCAGGACCATGAATCTAACTCAGATCACTAAGGTTCATAGTGCAGTGACCATGCACTAATATTATTCGTGGCAATTTCCAAGTGGTGATTTTAAGATATTTTTGCGTGTGACGTAAATGAAGGTCGGGGTGAGTGTGGGTGTGTGCACCTGGCAGCTCTGATTGGTGTTCATTGAGTCAAGTGCGGCATTGCCCGAGACACCATCCTAGCATCACCGGGTTATGTGGCTGAAATGGACGGCAATGATTGACGTGGCTGTAATGATCATGGAAATGGGTTCAAGTTCAAATAAACAACAAAAAATGTATGATTGCTTTGGCAGCATTATTGAACAAAAACGCCATGCACTCTCTGCTATGGAGGAGGGTAAATGCTCGAAATGCCACCTAATATATATTGTTGCATCTGATCCAACACTGCCCCCAGCACTGCCGATTCACAAGCAATATCAGCAACAACCACCAAGCCTCCGTGGAGGCTTTTAAACGGCTCAATAACCTCCATATCCAAGAAATAACATTGCAAAAGTCACCTCGCCGCATACGAAAGAAGAAGACCCCGACGAACCTGTGTGGCGTGGAGAGGCACTCATCTCGCAGCGAACCGACAAAGGGCTGTACGTGTACAATTAAATAACTATACAAATAACCATAGCGGTCTGTATGGGTGAACGGTGGAGGTGCTGTGAAAGTAGAGGGAATTGTAAGTCTTTGTGAGCACTCAAATCAACACACTTCACTTGTTGAGATATGGTATATATAGTTTTGCAGATACTTCAATAAGTCGATGGTATAATTGCATAGCACATATGACAAGTTTGTTGATGTAATACGATGGCTAAGCGTATTAAATATTCATTTTGTATCATATACAACAGCAGGTGCATCACATGGCAATGGAACTGACAGCTTTTGGGCAGAGAGCTGGAAAACCCAAGTGTTGTTTTGTGCAGTTATTCGTAGTTACGAGGGTATAACCACCAAGGCTCTGCACTTAGGAGCCTGATTAAATGTGTTGGTGGCTGCTGCATTTCAAACACATAACTTAGACCTGAGATAATTTGCGCAAAAGCTTTGATTAGTACAGTTGGCAACGTACGACGGAAAAAAGTTCAATACATATACACACAACCCAATTGCTCTCGCAATCGCACAACTTAGTCATCGCCTGCCCCTGCTTTCTTCAAATCTGAGTGAACAGTGTCACGACAAGGGGAGTGAAACAGCGTACTCAGGATTGCAACAACCATCGTTCACTTACGTGCAGCACGTGATCAAATGTCTGCTACAAATGATCGATCTTTATCTTAAGCAACCGGATGTGCAACTGCTCGCAGTTGATATTCTTAGTTCTTTCGGTAAAGTCACGTTGAAGGGAAACAATAATGGCAATGGAACTGGCAATGGAACGTGACTTTACCGAAAGAACTAAGAATATGAATTACTGCAGTCACGAAAGCTTTAAATCAAAATTTGCTCGCAGTTGGTTCCAGACGTCCACATTCAGGATACGCGATTCAGTTGCGCAACCAATCACTCCGATGTGCACCCGGGCTGAGTGGTCCTGGCACGTGCTTCTTGCACAACTGTTTTTTTATTCTAAACAAGACGATATCACGTTCCTTAGTGAAGCGTGCGCTTTGGGAGTGCAAATATGGCAACAATTTGTAGACAAGTGGCACAATAACTCACTTACCAAGTCACCAACGTTTCCAAGCGAATCCTCAACATCGGTGTCAGGCGATTCCAGAAAGCCGTGCGCAGCTAAAGGGAGGCAGAATCGTAAAATAAAAACATGTAGTAAAGTATAAAATAAAAACATGTAGTAAAGTATAAAATAAAAACATGTAGTAAAGTATTCTGTCACATGAAGGAATTGGCCTCATTATCTGACACCTACAATTAGCGTCATTGTCACTGTTTAAGTTTCCTCGGTTGTGCTATATAGCTCCCCAATGTCCTTTTGGGTTGTACCGCATGCTCGTCGGCTTGATGTCCGACGTTTCGCTCCACGTGCATACCAATTCAGGAAGTGAAGAAGCTCCCAGCATGTGTAGCGAAATGTCCGACATCATGCCAAACAGAACACGTGGTACAACCAGAAAAACACATCGAAAAGGGTTTGTGTGTCTCCTGTTTTGACAGCGTGGAACCTTCATTGAGGTTACTGCTACAGATGTAAGCCAGTTCACGCGACCCGTTCATCTCATTGTCGCCTTACAACGCCCATATCAATTCATCTCAAAGACAAACACGCCCGCGTCAAAGTTGTACAATACTATCCTCGCACGTCTGTGCTATCTACCTTCCCTAACCAGCGCGAGTAAGCATGATAAAAAATAACACCCACGACTCCCCGATCCAGTAATGCTTATTAACAAAAAGGGCTGACTATGTACACAACCACGGTTGACGCATTGCCAACGAACATTCAACCTCATTACGAGAACAAGGACCGCGATGCGTACTGATAGCACACGCCAGGGCGGCCAGGACAACGAGGGGAGACAGCCAGAGATGCCCCATGCTGATGAGCTCCGAGGCACGAATCTGAAACGAGGGAGTGCAGGGTGCGGCAGTCTCGGAGAGGTGACAATTTATAGTCGATTTGAGAGGCCACCACCACTCCTCCACAACCCATCCACGAGGGGAGTGGAAGTGTGTGGACGTGTTCGTGCGGCCAACAATGCAAAAAAAAATAATGCGTAGAACGTATTTTTTTTATTCCCCCGTTTTCAAATTTTTTGCGTGAGGTGTTGAAAATAAGTGTGGTCGACCAAAGGAGCGAATGCTAGGGATTTTAGTCCTCACAAACATCAAGCCAAAGCCACATTAATAGGAAGTAATTTTGGCAATATGAGCATTAATTAAAATAATTATTAAGTTTGTAGCTCTCATCATATTTTATGGTTTTTTTTCTCTTATTCGCTGTAGTCTGAGTACAGTCAGAAGTAACTTGGTCATTATGTTCGGCAACGCTGCTTCATAAGAACATTATAGTGCTCGAGAAACGCTGTATAAGGCGCCATATCAAAAACAATTCAATATCATTGTTAACTCATTTAGACTTTTTGAATATTTAAACAATGAATATTTTCCAAATGAGAGACAAATGGCAGTAGTATGAGTTTGACTGACTTGTATTCAGAGAAAGTGTATCTATGTTAAGAGCGTCACATGGCAATCGTCTGCAGCGATTGCTTTGATCTGGCAGTGGAAATTACATGACCAAGCTATTGTTAAAACACTTCTACATTTTAGAAATGTTAGCTTGAAATGTAATAACAGAGGAGTCCATTTATGAAGAATTTTCCTTTGGCAAATATTGCACTGTAAACCTTTAAATGATGTTGGCAGTGATCACAAATCATAAAAACACATCGCATTACTCTTTTTTACATCTATTTGTTAATCCACTGCTGGATGAAGACCTCTTCATGCTGTGTCAGTCGGGGGGTTGATGAGGAAGGGGTGGGGGATCCAGGACCTGGGTGCTACAGTGGTGAGATGTTAACTCCCTCGCCTGACATACAGGTCATGGGCTCGATCCCGACCCTGACGCCTGTATATCTATTTACGCGATCTGACTAAAAAACATCTGTATTATGGATGATATTGGTCGTGAAAGCTTACATCGAGTTTGTGTGTTCTCCCACTGGGCTTTAACTGGTAAAAAAAAATGTAGCATCACTCACCACCATTGTCAGTCATGACCAAAAACCATTGAGCTACTGCCTACCCCAAACGCTACCTTATCACAAAATACAGCAGCCTCGCATTTAACCCGGATCTGTGTTTTGAAATATGCTTTACAACGTGGTGCCTTAAAGACACTGAACAATTTGCAGAGAGTAGATATAACAATACATTTGAATTGCCGTGAACAGTATTTTTTCATTCGCAAATTTTGAACAGAACACACATTTCAATAGTTTAAATGTATGAACAAACCAATTATAAGTTATAAATATATGCATCAGATTTACAATTCAGAAATGTATCATGGAAAATTAGACAACAATAAAAAAATGAGAGTAGTAAATTCTCCAAGTCCATGTAACAGGTCACATTCACTGATAGAAATTGGGAAGACCACGTTACAATAATAAATCGTAGCCGGTGCTTGAGACAAATGACAGAATAGCAGCTAAAGAAGATAATATGCCTGAGAGCATGTCCAGAGGAGTGATGAAATCAGCTCGTTTGCATGAGGGTGCTTTTGATACAGCAGTGGATAGAATGGCTGATGAGAAGTAGACAAACATCCATTGCTATATTCCCCCTTGTGAAACGAACAATATCATGAAATTCTGAAATATTGCAGAATGGAGGAAACTAATTAACAGAATCTGGGAGGTGCCACTGTTTGAGAAAGTATAGGGGCGTGTTGTGTGTGATGGATGAGGTGACAGCGAGTTTGATGGGTTGAGTGACGATGGGGTAAACATAAAGAGCAGGGTTAGTGGGTGGCAGACGAGCAGCAGTCCGCTCCACCGGTTATAGAAAACCCAAGAGTAGTAGTACAAATGTAGTGAGTGCAACTGAGTCGCAGACGTTATTCTTTAGAGGCAAAACATTTATTATATCAACACGTAACACACAAAGGGGTAACTGCCCCTTAACGAGATTTACAGCTACGAAGGGTCGGACCCTCACTCGGGTCCCGGCCACGTGTTGATGCCTTGTAGAGCTTCCAGCTTGTAGGACGTGGAGCTTTAAGCTTGTAGAACGAAGCGACCCCGGTCCCTCTCAGGGGCCCACCTTATATCCTCTCGGGTCAGGGCTGGCTCCGCCCAGGCCCCGCCCACCTTCTCGAGCCTTCTAGCTCCCTCTTGATCCCTGTCGAGAGCTCTCCCCGGACACGTGATCACCCCCTAGCCCCCCCATCTGGGGCCCTCTCTGTGAACACTACGGATCACGTGTCTACATGGTCAACTAGAGTGCCATGGCCTGGGGCCACTCGGTCCCTGGGCTGACACTCTCCCTCTCCCCCTTGTGGGAGCCCGCACTATACGCCATGCGCGGTGTCCGTGCTATCCCAGCGCTCACCAAGCCCCGCTAGGGCTGGTACTACACCCATCTATGGGGTGTATGCGATGACGGTGCATTGCACGCCGTGCTATAGTAAAGCCGGCATCACACAGAAACCCACCCAGTGCTTCTGTCGGACTTTTGGCAGTTGCCGCTTGACAAGGCCTCATGGCCCAAGACGGCTTTTCGAACACCACAGGGGCTGTTCGAGTTTAACCGGCTTCCGATGGGGCTCCACTCTGCGCCGGCCACCTTTCAGCGTTTGATGGAATTGGTTTTGGTGGCCCTCCAGTGGGATTCATGCCTAATCTGCTTGGACGACATCATTGTTTTCGGTCGCACGTTCGATGAGCATTTGGATCGCCTGCGGGCTGTTTTCGTTAAGATGCGTGTGGCCGACCTGATATTCAAGCCCCGAAAATGTCACCTACTCCAAAAATCTGTTCGATAATTGGGCCATAGAGTCAGCGAATCGGGAATCACAACGGACCCGGAGAAAACTGCTTGCGTTCGGACATGGCCGACCCCCACCTCGGCCAGCGAGGTGTGCAGTTTTATCGGCTTTGTCTCTTATTATCACTGATTTGTCATGGGCTTCGCATCTATACCAAAAACTCTCCACGCCTTGACAGCTAAGGGCCAAACATTTCATTGGGGGGAGGAGGAGGAAGCTGCGTTCCACTCTATTCGTGATGGGCTGGTTAATGCCCCTCCCCTGCGTTATCCCGACTTTTCGTTGCCATTCGTTTTGGACACGGACGCCAGTAGTACCGGCATTGGTGTGGTGTTATCCCAAGTCGTAAATGGCGTGGAGCACGTGGCCTCCAGCCGAGCAGCGGTAATGCGTAACGCGCCGGGAGCTATTGGCCATTGTGATTTTTGTGCAACAATATCGGCCGTACTTGTACGGGCGACATTTCGAGGTGCGCTCCGATCATGCGGCACTCCAGTACACGCTGCGTGTGGATCAGCCCTCCGGTCAATTGTCATGCTGGCTCGAAATCCTGCAGGATTTTTCGTTCAATGTCACGTATCGTAAGAGTTTTCACCATACGAACACCGATGCCCTATCGCGATTGCCAGCGGGCGGGGAGTGTGATTGTTTTTTGGGTTCGGGTTGTTGTCGACCGGCCGGCTCGATCTCCCCTTCCCCTCTCTTTGCGTCCGCCACGGACACGATGGCAGGGACGGGCGACGTCTCTGCTGCACGGGATGCGATTTTGGGGTTGGACTAGGAGGTGTGGGGACGCTGGCAGGCGGAGGACGCGTCCCTCCTTAAGTTGCGCCGGCGTGTCAAGGAGACCGCCGATGGCACGGCTCCGCGGGGTGTCACCTCGTTCGTCCTGCGGGGTGGCCTGCTCATGTACTGGGATGGAGGATTGCACCGTTATGCTGTTGTTGTCCCTACCGCCCTGCGTGGCGAGGTTGTTTGGGCTGTGCATAAATTGTTGTTGCATCTCGGAGTGCAAAAGACACTGGCCGTTCTTAAACTGGATTTTTATTGGCCGGCCATGGCCTCCAACGTCGAGGATCTGCCTAAGGGCTGCGTGCAATGTGCTGTTCGGAAGCCGCCAGCGAGATTGTGTTGCCCTCCGCTTCAATCCATCCAGGTGTCGTGTGTAAATTAAATTGTTGCCCTTAATATTCTCGGGCCGTTTCCTGCTTCCGCGCGTGGAAATAGGTACTTGCTTGTGGGCGTTGAGTATTTCTCATGCTGGCCTATGGCCTGGCCGCTCCCGAATCAATTGGTGGTGACTATTACCGAGGCATTCCTCAATGGCTATGTTCTGGATAAAGGTGCCCCCGAGCACCTCTTGACGGATCAAGGCAAAAAAAATTCGTCCAAGCTGCTGCATGAGGTGTGCGATTTGCTGGGGATGAAAAAGGTACGCACGTCACCGTACCACCCGCAAACAGATGGCATGGTCGAACGCCTACACCGGACTCTGACCTCCATGTTGAGTCACTTGGTCAGTGAGTCACAGGTCGATTGGGATTTTCATATTCCTGTGGTTCTCGACGGTTATAGGATGATCCCTCACGCGTCCACCGGCTACTCTCCCTTCTCTTTGATGTATGGGAGGGAGTATGATCCTCCCATCAATGTGCAGTTGCAAGCCGCGCCCACCCCGAAGGTGTCCAAAATTTCTGATTCAATTCAGTTCACGCTCGGCAAACTTTCCGAGGCGCGGGAACCTGCCAATGTTAACTCTTGGGCCAAACAGTTGGTCAACGAGTGGCTCAAAGGCGCCCGTGTTTCCCTGTGCGATTGGTCGCCGGGGGACAGGGCCTGGTTGCTCTGTCAGCAGGTGCCAATGGGCACATCTCCCAAATTGCTACAACCATGGAGGGGGCCGGTTGATGTGGTTTGAGTCGTGTGTCCGCAGCGTGTCGAGATTCGGTTTGGTAAGCGGAGCTGGTTTGTACACCCCTCTCGTCTTTAGCCCTTTATCGCGCCGTGTGAGTTTGTTTCATCTCCATAGCGCAGGGGCCGAGTGTCGGGTGTGCCCGACAAGCTGAGGCGTGCGTCTGCCGACGCAGGTCCTCAGGAGAGTGTTTCTGTTCCGCCCCCCAGGCGCCGCGCAACTGATGCCTCGCACGCGGCCGCTTGTGTCGGCCTCGCGT